ATGTATGCATGTTTTATGTGTATGTGTCTATGTATGAACCTAGTATGAAGCTCCCTCAGTGTGTGTGTGTATGTATGTATGTATGTATGTATGTATGTATGTATGTATGTGTGTGTATGTGTGTATGTATGTATGTAAGTAAGTAAGTAAGTAAGTAAGTAAGTAAGTATGTATGCATGTATGTATGTATGTATGTGTATAGGACTATATGTCACCCTAAACCGGCTTCGAACATCTCTGAGTGTGCCTCCTGCGATGTGAGCTTGAAGCCACCGTCCCAGGTGTGGCCGTAGAACTTGCCGTGGAAGAGCACGTCCACTTCATCGATGAGAAGTGCTCGGTTTGACAGCTTACAGCCTTGCCTTCAGGAGTCACCGTCACTGCGTCAAGTCTCGCGCACAAACCTAAGATCAACCGAATGATCTAGCTCTGCCTCAGGGCATCCAACAACTCCCAGAGCTTCTGCAGCAGACTTCCTTTGGCCCTACCCAACTTACTCTCCTTCTTTCGCGGAATACAAAAGTTCATCCCTTTTTTGCTACCGCTGCCTGGGGGGAGTGACCGTCTGATTCTCCACGAGCTCCTTGGATGCCTGTCGACACGTTGAGAGGCATTGAAGCAGCATCTGGACTGGCTGAGATGGACTATCCTGACAAAAAAACAGCAAATTTTCAACAAGTGCTACACTTGTAATAGACTTCTTGGGCCAATCTGGGTGTTGAGTCGTGTGTGAAATCTGTGAAATGTGGCTCAATTCCTGGTGTCCCTGCTCGATTTTTTAAGTCTTTGCACAGACACAAGGGCCCCCTGCACCACAGGACAAGCCTTTGCTGAGCCAGGGTTTGGTGACAACTTTGGTGCTTCTTGGTTTACAATAGAGTTTAGGGTTTAGGGGTTTAGGGTTTAGGGTTCAAGGGTTTAGGGTTAGTTTGTACTAACGTGGTATTGATCGTTCTGATCCATTCCTGATCTAATGCCCGCTCGGAAGTCCTGGCACGCGTTTACCTGGGCATGTTTAAGCCACATGGCACAGGACTGTCCCAAGGCTATCGACAAGTACTCACGCTCACACGTTACAAGCTCGGGCAGGGGCGACAAGTATGGCATGTACGAGCCGATGCTTAGTTACTAAACATCTGTTGCTCAGCGTCCCCTTGAGAGCCAAGGTTTGAGGCAGCGCACGGCCATCGGGTCAATCGAAACTATAGTACAGGGCCACAGGGCTCCTCACAGAAGTATTTCATTTCACCAGCTGTTCAATAGAACAAAAAATCAAAAGCGTGATCATCAACCTGAGCAACCGCCATTTCAGGATTGAGGGTGGAAGACCGAAAGAACCCTGCTGCCTCTCTTAGCCCTGCAAGACGTTCGCCACACAGCTCGTCAAAAGTGAGGTAGCGGATGCTGTCCTCTGTGCTTGCAGGATTCATTGTCATCTGGTGCCATCACAGTTTGTGAAGTCTGACAGCTCGCGGAAACCGAACCGAAGCATTCTATGGGTGGTTGTCATAGGACCCACTAGACTACAGCGTGTTTGCTGTTGCGTTCGGGTCAGTATAGGGACTGCGTAAGCCGTGTTGGCTGTACAAGCCACTGTGGTTCCGCATATAGGCTGAGTCGCTGCCTTATTGAATTCATCTGCTAACGCAATTGACCCCTCGAACGCCCAGTTCCTGATAAACTGCAGAGCCTTCAGCGGAACGGCCTTCAAACTAGTTGTGCTTATATCTAGGCTCGCAATGTTCAAGGTGTTGAAACACTCGAATGCAGAGCCTTCAAACCAAGGCGCGCACCCTTCCACCTATCCACCTTTGTGTCAGCACATGCTCGCACCAACCCACCCCCGCGACACTGCCATCTACCTCACGGCTACTTATGTTGCGGTTCGATCTTGCCAGCATCAGTGCTGCGGCATCATTTTCCGCAGCTGCCGTGCAGGGAATTATGCATTGCACAGACGACTTCCAGACATGCCTTCTAGGAGGCTATATACTAGCTCGTGAATCCTTAGCCACGAAGGTATAGCGAATGAGTGACTCGATATGATCGGTGTGATCTCTGGCACCTTTCCAAAACCTTTCACAGATGGGGAGGGCTCCGACATGAAAATATCATATGCATTTGGCAACACGTGTGGGGCGGAGGAAATGCGATGTCGCTAGTGATGATACCTGGAGGCCTCGGACCGACCATGTTTGCGGTCCTGGATGCCGAGGAACTTGTAGAATGGAAGCATGGCATTCTTGTCTTGTTCCGTCAGGAACTTCCTCCAAAGGGCGCAGATAGGATCCCTCCGAAAATAGCACTCCGGATGAACGCTGCAAGACTACACCCGCCTGTAGCAGACCACATCGCTTCCAACGTTGTTCAGCGCGAGAAAAGCTGCCAGGAGTCCGAGGGTCAGAGCCTTGCCCTCACCCGTCAATACTTGTGCAAGATGGTTCTCGCAGATCTTGTTTGACGCCTGGCTGCCTCAAGAAGAAGGGG